CGGACTAGATGATCTGCTCAGGTCCCTTCCGACCCTAGAAACTATGAAACTATGAAATGTATATTTATTGGAATATGCATTAATTTGCTATATCATATATAAAAACCACAATACACTAGGCAAAAAAATAATCAAAAGATGTTTCATTAATCCTGCAGTTATTAGAATTAAATGGACATCTCTTTTTCAGATTCATAAAACAAAATCAAGCCTTCTTGAGCATCTTGTCAGTGCAACAAATGTTTCACTGAAAGTTATTTTCACACCTGAATTAATGTTTTTAGCTAGAGTTAAAAACAGTATGCAGGGCTGTGAAAGAGGAGCTACATTACTAAGAACAGCTATCAGACAGTAGAATTGCAGAAGGAAGGATGGTTTGATTAGCTGAACATCAAGACGATTAAAAAGGAGAGAGGGCCATTAAAACCTGTGGACTGAAAAGTTTAGAAGGAATCAAGTAGTGTGGAATTAAACAAAATGGATGCCTTAAACTTTGGTCAAACTAAACTGCAAGTTGTAAGATGACTGTGACAGTTAAGTGGGAAATTGCTGTCTCTGCACGTTAGAGCAAAGACAGAAACAAATGTTTGTTCTTTGTATTCCCAAGTGTTCTGCTTCACCCCCTCTCTGCAGCCTTGAGATAGCTGAGAAGTATGTGTCTGTTGTTTTTCAGATAACAGAGAGTGCGTGTTTGTTATCCTTGACTGTAGCTCTGAGAAAATTTACTATGCAGTCACAGCCTGTGTAAGAGCTGTTTTGAAAGTATATAAGCTGGATGATTCTGCTGGAAGAGAGAGATCTCCCTGCTCTGAGTCCTCTCCTACAGCTGTAGCTCTGAATAAAAGCTTCTACTGACCTGACCCTAAAGCCTACACGTGTTTTTCCACGACAGTTCTTGGTGCCATGACTTGGATCCAGAACACGTGTTAAGGAAGGAGGACTGCGGACCGTTCCCCGCTGAACCCTGGGCACCAAACTTAAGAGGTAAGAGACCTAATTCAAAATCTCTATTGGGGTTTCGGAGGAGGACTGGCCATAGGCTTCCAACTTAGCCGCGGTAGCTGGAGCCGAACCTTAACAGGTCAGTTTAGCACCTTACTGCCGGCTAAAAACTTTCTGTCTGATAATTCTGTCTAGTAATGTACGTTCTGTTCAGGGAGAATCTGTCTGACATCACCTCCATCCAACAGCATGTTGGGCTCGCAGTTAGTTAACCGAGGCGATGTGGGAGGGGGTCTGGCCGACTGAATGTTCCCCCATGTGTGAAAGAATTGAATCTGTAAGGGATTAGGAGTCTTGCAAAGGCTCATCCCAGGGGCACCCACCAGCCATCCAGGCTGCCCGCCACGAAGGAAGCTGACTCTAGCGGTTGAAGACTCGGGTGGTGTGATCTTACAGATTGATAAGACTGGTTTTGTCTTTCCCAACCCTTTATCTCAGTAGCTTCTGCCAAAACAGAAGTGAAAGGATCCCTTTTGTGTTTCACCCCTCCCAATCTGTCTCTGGAATGAGCCGCAGCTGAATCTGATAGTTGTAAGTCTCGGCGGACAAGCCGCGGGGCCCGACACAGACCAGCATGGACGTACCTATAAATCTTTCCCTTGTCTTACCCGTGTGTGTGAAAATGGGGACAGGTCAGTCAAGACAAGTTCCAGTTCCCTCTAAGGGAACTCCAGCACACTATATGTACATACATTATTCTCCCAAGGCTTGCAAGTACCTGGATAAGTGGAACCAGTATACTAGGGACGATCCTGTAAAGCAATTTCCACAGGAAGGAACATTCGATCACGATAAAATAGTGCACTTAAAAGGGGCTTTAAAGTCCCGTGGATCCAAAATACCACAAACCCAGTGGGACGCGCTCTTTTATTGGTATGATGAAATGTACAAAAGACGGACAGAATCTCAAACTAGAAGTCTCAAAGACTCGCAAGAGAAATTAAAACAGCAGTTAAAAACTGTCCAGGAGAAATTGGCTACTCCCCCAAATTGCACGCCGGCCACTGCTCCAATGTATCCAGCATTACCTGGGACACCCCCACTGCCGGAACCAGCAGAAGACATCCTTGACTTCTGTTCAAATCCAGCTCTCCTGAGACTCCCCAATCAGCAACAACAGGTTCAACATCAGGCTGCAGCCCAGGCTGGTGACTCATTAGCTGAAGCTCCTTTGATAGACTCACCTACAGAGCTTGTTAGCCCAGACTCATCCACCACTTCTGTCACTCAATTGTCACCAGTGTGGCAGCCTACCCCTGCGTCACAACCCACCACAGTTATGCTTAAAAAAATGGACATGGGTATAGAAAGGTCTCCAGTTCAGCTCAGGCCCCGGGGGCCACAGTTACTGAATCCCAGTGGACCAGATGTACAAAATTTCCCCCTAAGACAAATACTAGGCATCGGCCCCGATAGACAAAATATAGTGACCGTTGTTATCAGATTAGCCCATTACCTTGGGGTGTGCTCATTTATTTGGGATACATTTCTAGGGTCTTGGTAATTCTATTAATGTTCTGCTTGTGTTACTTGTGTTTCTATACGGAGCTGAATCTCTCCCTTCCACAAACCCTCACCCCCAGTGGAGCTATCTTGCAGGACTCAGTTTCAGTGGGGCTGGGTTCCTCCAGTCACCAAATCAGTCATACACACAAACACACACAGATTAACATGACACGCCTGACTTGGCCAGGTTGATCAGCACGGACAGGCTGACATCCTCATATGCCACAAATCAGTTAATCAGAGCAACAATAAATTACAGTCAGACACAAGCACACAGTTAAACAGAATACCTCTGAATTCGGCTGGGTGTCCAGATGACACCCTCATGGGCCAGCATTCAGTTCATTAGGGCACGTCTGAGCCAAACTGGGTCAATCAGCCTGTACAAGCTGATCCCCTTATGTGTTTCAAACTCAGCA